ATAAGACATACAAATTTTAGATAAAATGTTTTCTCTAGTAAATGTGTTATCTTTGTGAAATATATGACATTATCAAAATATTCCTGATCTTACAAGGAATCCACAATGTCAATTATATTATCTAACTTTGTTTGAGGTATTACTAAAGTTAAATATTCTGGTTTACATCTCCTTGGGCCGGTTGGTGGGGGAGGGACCGACAGCCATCTGTTACCCGTGAAGAATATATTTTTTTATTAACTGAAGAATTTGTTTTAGCTCAATATACCTCGAATAAATTTTGTGAATTTAATTTGATGATCATTTTGAATATAAACATCATATATTTTACATACATACAAATTTTAGATAAAATGTTTTCTAGTAAATTGTTATCTTTTGTGCAAAATATATGACATTTATATTCAAATATTCCTGTCTTACAAGGAATCCAGAATGTCAATTATTATCTAACTTTAATGAGATTATTTAAAAAGTTAAAATTTTTTTCCCCCACATCTCTTGGGAGGTTGGTGGGGGGGGACACATATGTATTTTTTTTATTAACTGAAGATATTTGTTTAAGCTCATAAAATTCATACAAATTACGGTCAGAATATAATTTACATTGCTGGAATTCTTATAATTTGATGATCATTTGAATATAAACATCATATATTTTGCATTAGACATACAAATTTTAGATAAAATGTTTTCTAGTAAATATGTTATCTTTTTGCAAATATATGACATTTATATTCAAAATATTCTCGTCTTACAAGGAATCCAGCAATGTCAATTGTATTATCCTAACTAGTTGAGGTGTATTTATTAAAATTTAGTGTTTTCCCCAAAAATTTCTCTAGAGGCCAGCAGTGTAGTGTGAGAGTTGAGTCCATTATTTGAATGGACATTAACTTGGCGACTGTATTTCTCTATTTCTCTTAAGTATTAATTGTGTCATGTACCATCATAAAATTAGATGTTATTTTACTACAACATAGTTATGTGTTTTCAAAAAGTGGAGTTTGGGGGTTGGGGCTGGTTTCTATTGGAATTAATCCCATATGTTCTGTTTAATTTCACTTAGCAGGACCCTCTGGGTTCTATTGGCAAGTGAAGTTTCTTAATATAACACTGTCTAGAAAATACAATGCCAAGCCTATATATAGATTATTCCATGGGTGGAGCAAGATGACAAACAAAGAATATGATTTGATAATTTGAAACAAAGTTAATATCATTGGACAACCTGACAATTATTAGAAATATTGTTACCTTATTGGACATAGGCCTACATGTGGGTGGAGCAAATGATATGATTGGTTGAGGTAATAGCCTACTATATGTATAACTGTTATTTCAAAACAAATGAAAAGTTATGAATTTATTAAAATTTGTAAATATTTCAAGTTACATTAAATTGTTTGAATTTTAAACTAATTAATTTATGATGAATTTAATTAAAAAGCAAATGAGTTTCAAATTTAAAATAAGTCGCTACTCTATATTCAAAATTCTGATCTTGTATAGCTAAGTTTAATGAAGGCCAAAACTTATGGAAAATAGAAACATTGACTTGGTCTGCTGTGTACTGGTGGACCATAGGCCCAATAAAATTTAATTGGATTTTTATGACCTGCAGATCTAGGTCATAAGCGGTATAGTCTGTGTTTTGGGTATAGGTCCAATAAACATTAGCTAATGTGTTTTTTAAACCTGCAGGTGGGAAGATATAAACCTTACTGGCCTTTTTATGGCATGCAGACAGAAAGCTACCTTAGGTGACTATAAATGTATTAAGAATTATTTCATTAAGGTCTCACCTCAGGTGACTCCTGTCATACTCATGGCCCAAAGGCATGTACGCTAGCTAATAACACCCTACTGTATAACTATATATATATTTATATAATAGGCTAGTAGCTATGAAAGGAATACAGTCAACCCTCACAGGGTCCCGCGGAAAGTGAGGAACAGCTGAAGTGAATAACATAACATATGGGATTAATTGAAATGGAGTCGGGCCGGAAACCCCAAACTCCACTTTTTGACGACACACAACTATGTTGTAGTAAAAATTTTATCTTAACTTTATGATGTTATGAAAAACAAGTAATATAGAAGAGGTTAAAGGTTAACATAGGAAAAATACATATAGGGTTAGAAAACCAGTTAAGGGGGGAACACTTCTATGTTAGTAGAAGAGATGTATTTGCATAATGGGATGGAGGTTGTCTCTGAGGCAGAGGGCAGATTACTGGGTCTCGTGGTGAATCACCATTACTAGGTGAATTCATCACTGTCACCACATGCTGGGCTCTGACAAATCCCTCAAAGTCATCTTCACTGTCACTATCACTGGCTTTGGGCTGGCTGTGTGGTGGGTTGCGGCTTAAGAAATCTGTGTTGGTTGACGGCTGGTGTTGATGTTGTCGTGATACACCTTGATGTAGGGTCTATAGTCGCAACAGCTGGGTAGTGGTGATTTATAATTGCTTGCGCTAGGCTGCCGGAAAGGAGGAGCTTGGCTTTCGATACACCGATGGCACTCTAATATCATTATGGGATAAGTGTTGTTCTTCTGGGATGACGCACTACCTGCCTTCTTCACTGACGCCGCCGTCATCATCATCACCATCTCCTCGTAGTCACATCAGGTTCCATTATCACCCAGGATGTTGCTCGCAGGTCTCGGAGAAGCCTGGAACTGTAATGTTCGCGCAGCTTCTGGCAAGGTCCACTGCTACTGCAACAGTCTGAACCTCACCAGTTCGCCAGATTGACTCTCCTCTCACCTGGTATTCCATGCAATACATGTCTCCATGCGGACGAATTGTGGTAATAGACAGCTGACCTTATGACTCAAATTCAAGAAGTCCGCGCTTTCTTGATGTTAAATACTCCAGAATTGTTTGAACAGCATTTTGCTGTGCCAACTGTTGATCCTCATCTTCTTCGCTTGCTATCGGGTGGTGGTGTCACCAGGTTGCTAAATCCTTCCCCGGTGTTGGTGTAGTCGCTCAGAGCTTGAATTCTTTTTGTTGAGAATGCAGCTTTTTACATTGCAGATTAACCTCGGTCCGGCGGGGTTGCACATAGACGAGTGTTGGGAGGAAGGAAGACCACTTTACGCTAGTGACGATCTAACAGTAGGGCGAAAGTGTCCTGGCGTTGTCCAGTAGCAAACAAAATCTTGAACGGCAGACTGTCGCCTAACTTTCTTTACATCGAACAAAACAGTCATCAAACCAGAGAGGGACAGTGTGAGAGAACATCCATGCCTTTATAGCGGGGCCAGCCAGTGGACATTTAGCTTGGTCATGTCCATGGGTTTGTAGGCGTTTATGCGGTTGCATCAATGATAACTCTGAGCTTATCGCGTACCGGAGGCATTGCGGCAAACAGGATTCCGTGATGCGCCTCTGCATCTTCCGCCCCGAATCTTGCTGGCATTCTTACAACGTATGACCCTGGCTGCAGTTTTTCCAGAAAAGACCAGATTCGTCCATGTTAAACACCTGGTCGCCGGTGTATCGTCCTTCCTCCATAATCTCAATGTAAAACGGAGGAAATTCTTAGCCGCAGCACGTCAGCACCGCTTTTCACCACCAATGTTTATATTGCGATCTTGTTCCGGATCTTAAACCGTAACCAATTCAGAGGAAGCATTAGCGGTTTGGGCTCTGTACCCATCTTCGTACACTGCGGCGTACAGTCTACGCATGAGTCCTTAACAGAGCGCGGTCGACTGCCATGTTCCGCTGCCATTGATGCACTAGCTAAGCAATTTCTTGCTACAAGTAATTGTCTTGAGAAGCACCTGGTTGTGAAAATACTTGATCATAGAAGCACCTGTAGACTTTGTGATCTTCATGTGCTCCTTTATCTTGGCTGCATCCTTCTTTATCGTCCGGATCGTAGATTCGTTCACACCATGCTGGTGAGCCAAATCAACCTGTCTTGTTCCTTTCTCTAACTCTTGGATGATCTTGTACTTCACCTCGTAGCTTAAGGAACGTCGTGTCTTCTTTGGCTTAAGGCGGCTGGGTCCAGGCAAGGAAAGGTTTCTCTCTGGGGGTGGTGGTCCGGCGGAAGCCATTTTACAGAACAATGGATGCACGATTACACGGTGTGGCCTGGAGGGATGAAACTGCCGCGGCTAGGTCACGCGTCGTCTTTCCTCCCTCCCTCCCTCCCTCCCTCCCCCGGGTGGACACGTCATATTACTTTATACCAATTACAGCTATCAGTGGAGGGAGGTAGGGATGCATGGCCAATCACAGTCCGATACGTCATATGACGTCAGTGATAACGCAACAGAGACATGCACTGCGCAACCTTACCGCGCGGCTTGGCCAGGCGGAGGAGGGAGGAGGCGGGTGGGGCGAATCTAAAAATAGCGTAAAGGGGTACACGCACCGCGGAATGTGAGCATGCTGGGTTCCGGCAGGGCACCGCGTAAACGTGGAAACGCGGAATGTGGGACCGCGTAAAGTGAGGGTTGACTGTATAGGGTTTAGTTGCAAAACCCAATTGTCCTTTCTGTATTTATTGAGGAACTATCTCATATACAGTTCCAAGTATATATCACTGTAGCTATCAGTGTTAAATGAGGATGGAGGCTAAATTAAATAGCTCTTCTAAAATACATCCTGCTTGTGTGAGAGAGTGAGTAAGAGTGCTCCAGTAGCTGGCTTCTATGTTCTGACCTAACATTCTTAGGGCCCCTCCTTCAAGGAACTTACCCATCATGTGGTGTGACCATGTCACCTCATAGCCAGTGGAAAGTTACAGGGGCTGATATGATCATATAAACCCAATGTACTGCCTTGTCATTTATATAAAAACTAGGGGCTAATACAGCCTGGTGTTGGTGTTACCGGGCCGATCCTCGCTGGTTCTCTTATACTGTATTGGGTTTTCATGATCAGACCCTTATATTTATTTTTTGATAAACAAGAATATATGGCAGTTTGTTAATTAATTTTTGTGCCCTAAATATAATTCCTTTATTTCAGGAATCATCTGAGTTGGAGTAAAGATGGCCGGTCACTTGGTTCCTGTTGATTTTAGGGTTAACCCCGCCAAGGTGTCTAACCCAGGTGAGTTGTGTGTGTGTGCATAATAATATTAATAATAATAATTAATGGTTTATTGAAAAAGTTTTGCAGCCCGAAGGCTGAAAATATACATTGGACATAAATGACTTATTACATAAATTGGTGGTTTAACAAAAGCCTTCATTAGAGAAAGGTAAAGGAACATACAGATTAATGTTTACAGTGGAGGTCACGTAGATCTTGTACGATGAGGTGTTGAACAGCAGACACGTGGTGTAGTAACTCCCTCACAGATGGTGTTGTGGGGCATCACGTGGTGTAGTAACTCCTTCACAGATGGTGTTGAGGGGCATCACGTGGTGTAGTAACTCCCGCACAGATGGTGTTATGAGGGACTTCATGTGGTGTAGTAGTTCCCTCACAGGTGTTATGAGGGACCTGACGTGGTGTAATAATTCCCTCACAGATGGTGTTATGAGGGACTTCACGTGGTGTAGTAGTTCCCTCACAGGTGTTATGAGGGACCTGACGTGGTGTAATAATTCCCTCACAGATGGTGTTATATGAGTGAGGTGTGGTCCCAGGCCTTCCTAACATAGATGGATTAACACATCGCTGGTTGTTGTTGGGTCTCAGGGGCAGTTATCACTGGGTACCTGGGACCTCACTGTGTGAAGGTTAACTTGGGTACGACTCAGCTGTTACTGTTGAGTTGTTCTCACTGACTTAAGCACTGTTCACCTCTGTTCAACACTGGTTCCATTCCTTTCCTAAATGAAATTGTAACTTCTGGCGAGAACTTGTTGATATTCCAGTGGGGAGGAGGGTTCAGGGGAGGGAGTTGGTATGGGCCAACTTAACAGTTGACCTGGCTGCTGCCAGAGGAGCGCCAGGTACGTCTTGACACTTCAGTGGTCAAGGATGTAGTGTGTGTGTGTAATAATAATAATAATAACAACAATAATAATAATAATTAATGGTTTATTGAAAAAGTTCTGCAGCCCGAAGGCTGAAAATATGCATTGGACAAAAATGACTTATTACTTAAAAAGATATGAGGTGGGTGGGTCATTTAACAAAAGCTTTCATTACTGAAAGAAGAAGGAACATGACTTGAACATACAAATTATTATAGTTTACAGTTGATGGCCCGGGCCTGGACTGGTCATTGAGACACCAGGTGGTGGGTGTTCACATGGTGTAGTAACTCGTCCTTGGGTGTTTGAAGCCGACCCACTGTTATTCCCAGGGTGGACTGATTAGCACCTCCTTGTGAGGAGATGGCGGTTAGTTCCTAGGGGTGCTTATCTCAGTGGTACTGTCTGGTGCTGAATTCACTGGCTTAAACACTGTTCAACACTGATCCCACTTTTTTCCGAAACGAAATTGTCACTTTTGATTATGTTGATATCTCGGTGGTGAGGATGGGTAGAGGAGAGGGACTTGGGGAATGGGCCGAACATTGGCCAAGGGAGGCGCTGCTCAGCAGGAGCAGCGCCTGAATAGGTCTTGACCCTACGGTGGTCAGGGATGTGTGTGTTTGTGCTTCTTATATTTCTTACCTTAGAGTTCAGTACCTTCACACTGGCTACTTACAGGAGATTATGGTGTATCTACGTAGAAGTTCACTCGACATTCCATGATTAATACAGTACTTGATAAATGATAATTTAATTAATTCCATTAATTTCCAACATCCATCTAAGTTATTGGTTGTACTTTGTCATAACCAATCAGCCACCTGCTGCAACTCTATTAATTTACCGTTTAATATTATTACAGTAAAAGTCCAAAAATCTGGACCACCCGAGAATTCGAACTTTTCGAAAACTCATACTTTTTTTTTATTTAGCTGGCTTTTGTGTGCATGTGCGCATGCGTGAGTGCCACAGCTGCACAGCGACAACAAGCGACCACGCAGTCGCCACTTTAAAACAAGCAATCAAACTGTGACAACATATGTAATTTTGAGTCCTACTCTTTCCATTTACAGAGTACTGTACAAGCCCATAATTATGGCTCCTAAAGTAGATAAACTTTGTTGTGTGAAGAGAAAGAAGAAAACGTTAAAATTGAGTGACAAACTTGAAATAATTAAGAAACTAGAACGTGGCGTGAGCAATACTGTTCTAATGGAAACATACGACATTGGAAAGTCTACAATTTACTGTATGATATAAAAAAAGGCAAAGAATAAAATTCTAGAATTCACAGCTTTTTCTTGAAAACTGCTCGTTTTGATAAATGAAGCATGCTATATTTGCTAATGAATAAACTATCAAAATGTACTTGTTCATCTCTTCTTTATTCCTCCTCAAATTTGAATTTTAAAAGTACTGCCTGAGAATCCGGAAAATCCGAAAATCCGGACCGACCCAATCCCCAAGCAGTCCGGATTTTTGGACTTCTACTGTATTACACTATATTATTATTATTATTATTAATAATATTATTATTGTACATGCGTGTGTTGATATTACTGTACTGTGTCGTGGCTCGTGGTTCATCAAAGCTCTGTGTAGAGTGAACCTGTTTATACTGGGTGGGTGTAGGTGTTGTAGATTTTGACCTGTGAAAAAGTTTACAATTATCAGTACAGTATTGTAGCTATATCCACAGATACATACAGTGGTGTAATCCTTAACCAAAGTTGTTACTAGGTGTTATGTGATGTAAGTTTAAATAAAGTGCACTGTGCATCCCCATGTTCTGTTATTATTGTTTGTAGAGAGCAAACACCAGCACTCCTGACCCTCCAGCACCTCCTGACCCTCCAACCTTTACCAGCACCTCCCTGACCCTCCAGCAACACCCGGCACCTCCAGCAACACCGGCACCTCCAGCAACACCAGCACCACCTGACCCTCCAACCTTACCAGCAACCACCTGACCCTCCACCAGCACCACCTGACCTCCACCAGCACCACCTGACCCTCCACCAGCACCACTGACCCTCCACCCAGCACCACCTGACCCTCCCACCAGCACCACTGGCCTCACAACCACCTGACCCTCCACTAGCACCACCTGACCCTCAACAGCACCACCCACATTTCCAGCAGCACCACCTGACCCTCCAGCACCACCTGACCCTCCAGCAGCACCACCTGACCCTCAGCAGCACCACCTGACCTCAGCAGCACCACCTGACCCTCCAGCAGCACCAGTACCACCTGACCCTCCGGCACCAGTACCACCTGGCCTCAAGCACCAGTACCACCTGACCCTCCAGCATCAATTTGCCACCTGACCCTCAGCAGCACCACCTGACCTCCAGCAACACCACCTGACCTCCAGCAGCACCACCTGACCCTCCACAGACCCTCAGCAGCACCGGTACCACTGACCCTCAGCAGCACCCAACCTCCACTGGCACACTGACCTCCAGCAGCACCACCTGACCCTCCAGCAACACCAGTACCACTGACCTCACTGAACCCTCCAGCACCAGTACCACCTGGCCTCCAGCAGCACCACTGTTCCCTCAGCGGCACCACTGACCCACCAGACCCTCAACACCGGTACCACCTGACCCTCCAGCAGCACCACTGACCTCCAACGCCAGTACCACCACCTGACCACTCCAGCAGCACCACCCTGACCTCACAGCCACACCGCCTTCCATTTTGGCCCCTCCCACCAGACCCTCAGCAGCACCACCGGCCAGCAGCACCACCTGACCCTCAGCAGCACCACGGCCTCCAGCAGCACCACTGACCTCAGCGGCACACACCTGACCCTCCACTGGCACCACCTGACCCTCCACCAGCACCACTGACCCTCCACCCGGCCACTCCAGCACACTAACCTCCAGGCACCACCTGACCTCACCAGCACCACCTGACCCTCCGGCAGCTGCAGCCCTCCACTTCGCTGCCACCTGACCCTCCAGCAGCACCACCTGACCCCTCCCAGCACCTCACGGCCTCCAGCAGCACCACCTGACCCTCCAAGCAGCACCACACGGCCTCCCGCACCACCAGTACCTGACCCTCCACCAGCACCACCTGACCCTCCAGCAGCACCACCTGACCCTCCCACCCAGACCCTCCAGCAACACAGTACCACCTGACCCTCCAGGCGGCACCACCTGACCTCCACCAGACCTGCCAGCAACACCAGTACCACCTGACCCTCCAGCTGCTGCTGACCTCAGCAGCACCAGTGCCACCTGGCCCTCCACCAGCACCACCTGACCTCCACCAGCACCACCTGACCCTCCACCAAACTTACTGGCCTCCACCAGCACCACCTGGCCTCCACAGCACCACCTGGCCTCGCTACCACCTGACCCTCCTGGCACCTGTGCCCTCCACCAGCACCACCCCGGCCTCATAGCACCACACAGCCTCCACAGCACCACCTGGCCCTCCCACCAGCACCACCTGACCCTCCACCAGCACCACCTGACCTCCAGCACCACCTGACCTCAGCAGCACTACCTGACCCTCCAGCAGCACCACCTGATGACCTCCAGCAGCACTGCCACAGCCCTCCAGCAGCACCACCTGACCCTCCAGCAGCACCACCTGACCCTCCAGCAGCACCACATGACCCTCCAGCAGCACCACACGGCCCTCCACCAGCACCTGACCCTCCAGCAGCACCACCTGACCTCAGCTGTGCCTGACCCTCCAGCAGCACACCAATTACCACATGACCCTCCACCAGCACCACCTGACCCTCCACCAGCACCACCTGACCCTCCACCAGCACCTGACCCTCCACCAGCACACAGCCTCCACCAGCACCACCTGACCCCTCCACAGCACCACCTGACCCTCCAGCAGCACTACCTGACCCTCCAGCACCACCTGACCCTCCAGCACTACCTGACCCTCCAGCAGCACCACCTGACCTCAGCAGCACCACCTGACCCTCCAGCACCCAGGCACCACTGACCCTCCAGCAGCACCACCTGACCACTCCAGCAGCACCAGTACCACCTGACCCTCCAGCAGCACCACCTGACCCTCCACCTGACCCTCCAGCAACACCAGTACCACCTGACCCTCCACCAGACCCTCCAGCAGCACCACCTGACCCTCCAGCAGCACCTGACCCTCCAGCAGCACCACTGACCTCCAACAGCACCACCTGACCCTCCAGCAGCACCACCTGGCCTCCACCAGCACCTGACCCTCCACCAGCTGCAGGCTATACTAGCACCACATGACCCTCCAACAGCACCACCTAACCCTCAGCAGCACCAGTACCACCCCAGGCCTCCACCAGCACCACCTGACCTCAGCAGCACTGCCTGACCCTCCAGCAGCACCACCTGACCCTCCAGCAGCACCACCTGACCCTCCACCAGCACCACCTGACCCTCCAGCAGCACCTGGCCTCCAGCGGCACCACATGACCCTCCAGCAGCACCACCAGTACCACCTGACCCTCCACCAGCACCACCTGACCCTCCAGCAGCACCACCTGACCCTCCACTAGACCCTCCAGCAACACCAGTACCACCTGACCCTCCAGCGGCACCACCTGACCCTCCACCAGACCTGCTTAACACCAGTACCTGACCCTCCAGCGGCACCAGTACTACCTGACCTCCGGCAGCACCAGTACCACCTGACCTCCACCAGCACCACCTGACCCTCCACCAGCACCACCCTGACCCTCCACCAGCACCTGACCTCCGCAGCACCACCTGACCCTCCACCAGCACCACCTGACCTCCACTGGCACCACCTGACCCTCCAGCAGCACCACCTGACCCTCCCACCAGCACCACCTGACCCTCCACCCAGCACCACCTGACCCTCCCACCAGCACCACTGACCCTCCCACCAGCACCACCTGGCCCTCCACCAGCACCACCTGACCCTCCCACCAGCACCACCTGACCCTCCAGCAGCACCACCTGACCCTCCAGCAGCACTACCTGACCCTCCAGCAGCACCACCTGACCCTCAGCACTACCTGACCCTCCCAGCAGCACCACCTGACCTCCAGCAGCACCACAGCCCTCCAGCAGCACCACATGACCCTCCACAGCACCACCTGACCCTCCAGCAGCACCACCTGACCCTCCAGCAGCACCAGTACCTGATGACCCTCCAGCAGCACCCCAGTACCACACTGACCCTCCCACCAGCACCACCTGACCCTCCACCAGCACCACCTGACCCTCCTGGCACCACCCCCGGCCCTCCACCAGCACCACCTGACCCTCCACCAGCACCACCTGACCCTCCACCAGCACCACCTGACCCTCCAGCAACACCAGCACCTCCTGACCCTCAAGCAACACCAAGCACCTCCTGACCCTCCAGCAACTGCTTGCCTCCTGACCTCCAGCAACACCAGCACCTCCTGACCCTCCAGCAACACCAGCACCTCCCTGACCCTCCAGCAACACCAGCACTTCCTGACCCTCCAGCAACACCAGCACCTCCTGACCCTCCAGCAACACCAGCACCTCCTGACCCTCCAGCAACACCAGCACCTCCTGACCCTCCAGCAACACCAGCACCTACGCTACTCATAATCTATGCTTCACCACTCCACAGGTAATGAGGTTATACAATACTGAGTAGGTTACACCACACTTCCTGTTCACACACTTCACCAAACCTAATGTTCACACTCAACTGATCAAAACAAACCACCCCGCTCACTGATGTCCTTAAGATTGCCGCCCAGAGTGAATATCAACTTGTGCGTTGAGGTGTTGCATTTCATTAATGACGTTATTGTGATGAATCTGTAATGTGAAACTCGTTAAAGTGAAATATTTATATACGAGGTAAGGAGAGAGCTGAAGAGGTGGCCAAGTTTGCTGTCTCTCGTCATGCTCCCTCCCTCACAGAGATTACTTCCCTGCAGTTAGGTCAGCCATCCAGACCTGCTGGCAGCTACAGTGGGATAATTTATCTGTTCTCAACAAGTTGCGAGAGATTAAACATAAAAATCTACCCGTTGGAATATCCTTGGATTGCCCTTATCCATCTATGTGTTGGATACACTTGACGTCACCCACAATTTCCTTATGGCCAGAGGACCACAGCCCTATTGTGATGACTGTCTGGTGCCACTGACTTTGAGACACTTGCTGGTAGTGACCCAGTCATGGGGACTTGAGGAGTTGTTTTTCTGGCCAAGCGCTGTTAGGAGGATGGTTCCTACTCCATCACGAAGATGCTCAGTGAGAGAAGTTCTGTAGCTGATGGTGGAGATTTTAAAATTTTAATTGCATTAAAGATACTTAACCACTTATAATTTTAAATAATTACATGATTTTATATTATTTTAATTTTTATATTTAAGCTTAATAGAACTTTATTTATTTATATCATAGTTTTAAATTAGTTTAATTTTTGGCATCTAGTGGCCACAGGCTGTGACGCCAGATACTTTAATCAATCAATCATGTTTGTCATTGGGTAACTGATGGCCATGGACTTGTACAGTCAACTGTTACGTATCACCACAACTCTAGACTTTCACCCTCACTCTGTAACTTCTCCTCATGACAGTACAGTATTTTTTCATTGTATTCTAGTGGAGAGGAAGACTCTGCTGCAGGATCTACTACCCATCATAGAAACCTTCTCAGGCCCGTTAACTGAGGTAAGTTGTGTCAATATTTCTGTCAGCTTCATTTTGTATTACAGGTAGTTCTGCTATAACGCGATAATTGTGTTCTTGTAAAATATCGTGTTATAGAAAAACGCGTAATAGAAATAACAGGGCTTATGGAGAAAATAGGGTTAGGTGCAGATTACTCGAAATCGAAAAAATTTAGTAATTAGCCTAACACAAAGGATAGCACAGTCTAAATAAATGTTACATTCATATCCAATAATGAAATCATACAGTAAATGTATCACTTTACTTGATGGGGGAGAAGGATGATTTTGAGGTTGATAAAATTGAGCTTCTCTTCAAGTGTTATATCCTTTCTTTTACGATCATCACCGGGAATTCTATCACCAGAACGCTTCTTGTTGATATTCTTCTTTACTATATTCACAGCTAATACAGTGGGGTATGCTATAACGAACGGATCCTACTACGAATATTCCTACAACGAACGGTTTTACCTATAAAATTGAGAATGCTATAACGAACGAAACTCCTACAACGAACATTATTTAATTTATTTATTTATTTTTTTTTTTCTAATTTATTGTTTTTTTATTACAAATATTAATGCTATTCTTTATTTCAGGGGTTTAGATGCATATTTATGCACTTTTTTACAATTTTTACAATTTTATATTATATTTTTCAGTGTTAAGTGGTTGTATTTTGGGGCCTGGAACGGATTAATCCTATAACGAACGAATGCTATAACGAACAAGGTTCTAGAACCAATTAGATTCGTTATAGCATACCTCACTACCACAAAATTGGAGAAATAGTAAGCAAAAATCGCGTTATAGCAAACAAGCGTTCGCGTTATACAAATATCGTTCCTAATTCATAAATCGCGTTAGAGCAAATTCGCGTTATCAAAACACGCGTTATAGCAAAACTCACTGTACTGTACAAGTATTTATCCTCTGTTATTTTTAGTTGTTATTTTTTAACAGGATTAGCCCATCTGGGCGCAGGTCAATGATCCACATCAGGGCCGGGGGCAAAAATATAATAATAATAATAATAATAATAATAATAATAATAATAATAATAATAATACAGTAATAAAATAATAATTAAACAAAATTGATAAAAAATTATTAAAAAATATTAAATAATAATAATAACAGTTATAATTCATAATAATAATAAGGGAACAAAAAAATATATAGTGAGAACCGATATATATATATATATATATATATATATATATATATATATATATATATATATATATATATATATATATATATATATATATATATATATATATATATATATATATATATATATACACATATATACAGTATATATATATATATATATATATATATTCAAAGTAAGAGAAACAATTAAAACCCTGCAATTGTGTGTAAATAGGCAGTGAGTCAGATCAACAACCTGCAGTCAAAAATTTTTTATGCTTATTGTACCCTATTGTGTTTAATGGGAATATGTATTCTTAAAGTATTTGTGTGTGTGTCTGTCTGATGTGTCCTTCTTAGCAATGATTTATCCACAAAGATTCACGGACTGGGTAAGGTAATGTCTTCCCCAAGATTTACTGCAATTAATTCCTTGACGGTGCATTGAACTAGACCTTAATTTTCTTCCTGTCCTCTCATATCTTGATAAAATGTACAGTCACAGTATTATAACTACTGTACAGAGACAGTATTTTGACTACTGTACAGTGACAGTATTATAACTACTGTACAGTGACAGTATTATAACTACTGCACAGTGACAGTATTATGACTACTGTACGGTGACAGTATTATAACTACTGTACAGTGACAGTATTATGACTACTGTACGGTGACAGTATTATAACTACTGCACAGTGACAGTATTATGACTACTGCACAGTGACAGTATTATAACTACTGCACAGTGACAGTATTATGACTACTGTACGGTGACAGTATTATAACTACTGTACAGTGACAGTATTATAACTACTGTACAGTGACAGTATTATGACTACTGTACTGTGACAGTGACTACTGTACGGTGACAGTAGTATAACTACTGTACAGTGACAGTATTATAACTACTGTACAGTGACAGTATTATAACTACTGTACAGTGACAGTATTTTGACTACTGTACAGTGACAGTATTATACTACTGTACAGTGACAGTATTATGACTACTGTACGGTGACAGTATTATGACTACTGTACAGTGACAGTATTATAACTACTGTACAGTGACAGTATTATAACTACTGTCCGGTGACAGTATTATAACTACTGTACAGTGACAGTATTATAACTACTGTACAGTGACAGTAGTATAACTACTGTACGGTGACAGTATTATAACTACTGTACGGTGACAGTAGTATAACTACTGTACAGTGACAGTATTATAACTACTGTACAGTGACAGTATTATGACTACTGTACGGTGACAGTATTATAACTACTGTACAGTGACAGTATTATAACTACTGTACAGTGACAGTATTTTGACTACTGTACAGTGACAGTATTATACCTACTCTACAGTGACAGTATTTTGACTACTGTACAGTGACAGTATTATAACTACTGTACAGTGACAGTATTATAACTACTGCACAGTGACAGTATTATGACTACTGTACGGTGACAGTATTATAACTACTGTACAGTGACAGTATTATAACTACTGTACAGTGACAGTATTTTAACTAACTACTGTACAGTGACAGTATTATAACTAACTACTATAAAGTGACAGTATTATAACTAACTACTGTACAGTGACAGTATCATAACTACTACTGTACGGTGACAGTGTATAACTACTGTACAGTGACAGTATTATAACTACTGTACAGTGACAGTATTATAACTACTGTACAGTGACAGTATTATGACTACTGTACAGTGACAGTATTGACTACTGTACGGTGACAGTAGTATAACTACTGTACAGTGACAGTATTATAACTACTGTACAGTGACAGTATTATAACTACTCTACAGTGAAAGTATTTTGATCAATGTTGCGACAGAGCTATGACTACTGTACAGTATTATAACTACTGCACAGTGACAGTATTATAACTACTGCACAGTGACAGTATTATAACTACTGTACAGTGACAGTATTATAACTACTCTACAGTGAAAGTATTTTGACTACTGTACAGTGACAGTATTATGACTACTGTACGGTGACAGTATTATAACTACTGCACAGTGACAGTATTATGACTACTGTACAGTGACAGTATTATAACTACTGCACAGTGACAGTTTTATGACTACTGTACGGTGACAGTATTATAACTACTGTACAGTGACAGTATTATAACTACTGTACAGTGACAGTATTATGACTACTGTACAGTGACAGTATTATGACTACTGTACGGTGACAGTAGTATAACTACTGTACAGTGACAGTATTATAACTACTGTACAGTGACAGTATTATACCTACTCTACAGTGACAGTATTTTGACTACTATACAGTGACAGTATTATAACTACTGTACAGTGACAGTATTATAACTACTGTACAGTGACAGTATTATAACTACTGCACAGTGACAGTATTATGACTACTGTACGGTGACAGTATTATAACTACTGTACAGTGACAGTATTATAACTACTGTACAGTGACAGTATTATGACTACTGTACGGTGACAGTATTATAACTACTGTACAGTGACAGTATTATAACTACTGTACAGTGACAGTATTTTGACTACTGTACGGTGACAGTATTATAACTACTGTACAGTGACAGTATTATAACTACTGTACAGTGACAGTATTATGACTACTGTACGGTGACAGTATTATAACTACTGTACAGTGACAGTATTATAACTACTGCACAGTGACAGTATTATGACTACTGTACGGTGACAGTATTATAACTACTGTACAGTGACAGTATTATAACTACTGTACAGTGACAGTATTTTGACTACTGTACGGTGACAGTATTATAACTACTGTACAGTGATAGTATCATAACTACTGTACAGTGACAGTATTATAACTACTCTACAGTGACAGTATTATAACTACTCTTCAGTGACAGTATTATGACTACTGTAGAGTAACAGTATTATAACTAACTATTGTACAGTGAAAGTATTATAACTAACTAATGTACAGTTGACTGTATCATAACTACTGTGCAGTGACAGTATCATAACTAACTACTGTACAGTGACAGTATTATAACCTACTACTGTACAGTGACAGTATCATAACTAACTACTATACAATGACAGTATTATAACTAACTACTGTACAGTGACAGTATTATAACTACTGTACAGTGACAGTATTATAACTCCTGTACAGTGACAGTATTATAACTAACTACTGTACAGTGACAGTATTATAACTTACTACTGTACAGTGACAGTATTATAACTTTGCTACTGTACAGTGACAGTATTATAACTTACTACTGTACAGTGACAGTATTATAATTACTGTACAGTGACCGTATTATAACTAACTACTGTACAGTGACAGTATTATAACTTACTACTGTACAGTGACAGTATCATAACTAACTACTGTACAGTGACAGTATTATAACTACTGTACAGTGACAGTATTATAACTAACTACTGTACAGTGACAGTATTATAACTAACTACTGTACAGTGACAGTATTATAACTAACTAATGTACAATGACAGTATCATAACAAACTACTGTACAGTGACAGTATTATAACTAACTACTGTAGTGTGACAGTATTATAACTAACTACTGTACAGTGACAGTATTATAACTAACTACTGTACAGTGACAGTATCATAACTAACTACTGTACAGTGACAGTATTATAACTAACTACTGTACAGTGACAGTATTATAACTAACTACTGTACAGTGACAGTATCATAACAAACTACTGTACAGTGACAGTATTATAACTAACTAATGTACAGTGACAGTATTATAACTACTGTACAGTGACAGTATTATAACTAACTACTGTACAGTGACAGTATCATAAC